ACAAATTTAATTTATTTTGACATTTAAATTAAACAAAAATGTCATCGAGACCTCTGTCGTTAATTATGTAAGACAAATCAAACGTCATCCGTTAAAGACGTGATTAGACAGCAGCTTTTGTCAATGATGCGTTTCTGGTGCTCAAAGACTCGCGGCCATAGTTTATGTTCGACAGCAGAAATGTAATTTTTATCTGAAATGTAAAAATTAAGCTGTAGTAGTTCTCAATACAAAATGTTCACAATTTTGTGATAGTAATGTAGGCTTAATTAAAGAAGTTTTATAGCTAAGGGATGTTGGTGGTTATATAAAGTTAAGACATCCAAATATTTACCTGCACAGTTCAACCAAAGAACGTTTGGACAGTCGCTAAAATTGGCTTCTGACAAGATGGACAATGGGTCAGTAATTTCGAGCAGTCTGCGCATGCGTAAAGCTCACCACAAGGGAGGAAAAGGTCCTTGACGTTGGCCTTGAAGCACACTTTACACTTCAACAGCTGCTCGAGTTTGGTGTTTTCTCTCTTCAACACCTGGAGGGTCGAGTCGTCGGAAAAGTTGTTGATTTCATTCTCTGGAAGGTTTAGATCACAATCAGAAATACGTACAAACCGCAATACCTTTTAACATTTTATTCTTATAGTATAACCGGTAATTCAATTTTGTTTTATAAAAAAAAAAAGAAGTAAAAAATTAATTTTTCAAGTAAAAGAAGTAACTCTTCATGTTTATTTTATTTTAATACGAAAGAAAAAGGTAAATTTAAGATGTATGTAAAATACGACAAATATGTTTTGCTACGTCAAAATTACAAACTTAATTGTGTTCTACTTGTAGGCTTAGTCGGTGTATATAATTATCTTTGACTTCATCTAATTCATATTTTTTTTTATGTGAAGAATAAAATAGTGCCCTGACTCTCCCCTTCCTTTACCTAATTGATCATCAGGGGCTGCAGTACTAGTTCCATCCTTATCGTTAGCCAGCAGGTAAGGACAGGTGTTTCTGTACTTCCTGTGTTCCTCCACTACGTCATCGCCAGGTTTCCAGGACTTGAGGCCAAGGCCACACTGGAAACAACGGATGCAATCAGCATAACCTGAAAAATTAGAAGACAATTAATAAATTACGGTTTTTTCTTCTCTGAGAAAAAAAATAATATCGTTCACGTTTTGTGTGCAATTACTATTTTATTTTTTATAAAATGTATTTAATATGAATGTATTACGTTTATGAACGTTAATTTTATGTTATTATGGTTATAATACTTATTTACTTATTTAATTTCTAGCTATTATTTTTTAAGATTGTAGTTTAAAAAAATTTTTTAAAAAGAACGAACCGGCATAGAAAAAGCCGGCATGTGCCAGAACTTCAGGCCTGTGGATGTGCTGGAAATTCCATTGCCTAAAACTTGCCAGACGCTGTTGGTAGGCAATGTAGGCAGAGTACGTTGGTGTGCTGAGTACTTTATAAATAGGGGAAGTAACTACCCTATCGTTGGTACTTGCATCGTCATCACTTATCTGCTCCTGTAAGTTTGGCCGTGTTGTTGAGACGTTCTCATTGAGAAGATCTTCATTTGTGATTTCTGGTTAATAACGACAATATTACATGAGTTAGTTAACAAATGAATAAGCTATCTCGTAGTCAGGGGGAAAAACAAAAAAAGCAGGTTTTTATTTAAAGAATAAATTATAATAAACTATCTCTTGAACAGTGAACTGCCACCATACATTAATTTTTAGCTAGGCCTCATTTGTGTTCTAAATAACATCCTGTCATATATATGTGTATATATGTGTATATATATATATATATATATATATATATATATATATATATATATATATATATATATATATATATGTTTGTGTGTGTGTATTGTGCGTGTATAAATCTAGCACGGTTGTGAATACTGGGTGTTGTAAATATCTGCTATCTATGTGACTGGAATAGTTCTTAAGGCGTCAGATAAAAGAACGTCACGGATTAAAGGTCACGTAGAGCTTACAATTTACGCGTTATATGGCATGAATAGTTCCATTTATCTACGGGTAATCTTAGTCAATAGACTATCAAATTCTAAAGAATGTCTATAGGTCTTTTGTTAGGTGATTGTGCAGTATGTTTACATTGCATAATATATAAAAATAGAATGCTTAGTCATAGTTAATTTTAGACGGTTCAACATTTGTGTTATAACTGCTGAGTGCTCTATGTGTACCACAGTTATGCAGTGCAGAGGGTTTACTTATTTGATCCAGCCAGCTACCATTTCACTCGTCTCCAATACCAGGGAGAGAGTATTACACCTTGATAAACACTAGGTTATGTCACATTCAAACGAATCCACGACGCTCAGAGATAAGAGGACCAAGTAATTCGTATATGAATCTTTTAATCTCGTATCTACAACAACACACGTCCTTCCACACCGACGATAAGGATTCAACTGCTCACACATCAACTCATAGCAACCAACTCTCTAACCTAAAACGTCACTATCTTTCGTACTGCGTCATCATACCCATGTGTTCACTATGTGTGCGCACCAACCTGCCCTCAATTCAATACCTATAAAACATACATCATAACATTACCCCCCTCCCCATTCAAGCTAATCCCATTAGCTTCGAACATTTTCACCAAGTCCAACTATGTCTACCAACATATCATCTTCAACATACTTTTAACCTAACAATATCAACTAGGTGCTATACATGAACATTCATTCTATTTCCCAGTCCTAATTATTACATTACATTGTAATTTTCCTCCCATACAATTTTATTTTAATCACTCGCATTCAATAAATAATTTCTCTTGGGTTCTCTCCCTCAGATAAGTATTCTTGGGTTTTCACACACCTCTCATCATCATTCTACTCAGCAATGTCCATCTCTTGACACCAGTAGCTATAAAAGAAAAGTTATACCCAACATCCCATTAGTTTATACCAACACAACTTGTGATGGCGAACAGAGCCCCCAGTGCCACCATTTAGTGAACATCTGTGGTTGTTCCCATCTCTACATACAATATAAATGCAACTAGCTTAATCAATATGGCACTGGATCCCTCAGCTCCTGTAATAAAGTCCTATTAATACATGATATCAACAATCAACTCAGCATAAAAACTTCTCTCAACCTAGAAAAATATTCAATTCAGTAAATCATTATAGTATAACAAAATATTTCCACATCATGGATCAGGTAACCTTAAGATTCTCATCAACCTAGAGAAGTAAACATAGTCACATCAACACATATCATGAGCAATCAAACCCCATAAAAGTGACTATAGACATCATTAGTTCATAACATTAGTGTAATCATCATGCAACAACAAAAAGAACTTATCATCTCATTATTTATCATTATCATAATTATAATCTCTCTAGAACAACAACAAAGCTTCATCAACCCACATCGTCATGTATTAATCAAATAAAACTCAGAGTACTATCAATCAAGCACATCAACATATCAACATGTCTACATGCATATATATCATATCTTACAGAGTCTTTTCCTTGACAATTACCTCAGTAAAAAAAAATTCAATCACTAGCATCAGGCAAATTTGCTCTAAATATATCAGCCCAAACACAATTTGGATCATTAATCCTTATAGTCTCAGTTCCATCAGCAGAAGTCACCAGAGCACACTGTAAATCATTCAATTCCCCATCTTTATCTCTAGCCATAAAACATTGTGCCTTATTTTGTTCTGTATCATCTTTCTTACACCACTTTCTGTTTCTATTTCTATTCTGATTCCTATCTCCTATATTTACCTTAGTACTATCTGCCTTGTCAGAGCCATTATACTTTATTAAACTGGTCAATTCCTGTACTTTATTAACAAGTTTTCCAATTTCCTTTTCAAGGATGCTGATTTTGTTTTCTAAGTTCTGGACCTTACTACTTCCATTATAATCTCTTACCCCAGGAACATTTCCTATAATCAAGTCATACGGGCCTTTCCTAAAAACCACAGCATCTACATATCCGGTAATCTCTTTTGATCTGACAAAAACTCTAGCCACAGGCCAACTATAGCTCTTACCTCCAAACACATTTACACGCTTCCTTTTATTAGTGTACTGATGGGGTTTCACAAATTTGTCTCTAACAGCAATAATGGAGGCACCAGTATCCCTAATTGTCACTGTATTCATCCTATTCACTGAAGCTTTGAAAGTATTCATCCCCTGACAATTTTTATTTAACACTGCTATGTATACACTATCCTGATCTTGATTATAACTATTTCTCCCTGACTCTTGAAATTCCCTGCAATCTTTCCTCATATGCCCAGACCTATTACAACCAAAACATCTAATTTGTGGTCTATTTCCTACCTCATCCCTAACTCTAACCCTATCAGGACAATTTCTCCCTAAATGGCCTATCTTATGACAATTATAACACTTATATGATCCCTGGGAAACTACCTTTGGACTTGCATTATTCCTTCTGATATTCTTGTTGTCTACCATTTTACTATAATTTCTTTCTATTCCTTGAGCTAAAAACATATGACCAAATTCTGTCTCTTTCCTAATGGTTCTATTTGGATGGGCAGCCTGATATTTTTGACATAGGTCAGTACATGCAGCTAAGGTTCTGGGTTTCCTTTCTTGGAGATAACCAAATAAATCTTTATGGACTGAGGTCAAAACCTTGTTGACTAAAATAAATTCTTTCAAATTCTCTACTGTTAACTCTAATCCCGAAGCATCATACCATTTGTCAAAACTTGTTCTAATATTATTTGAAAAAATCTTGAAATCCTCTGTGTTTTCTGGTAATAATTCCTGAAATTTTACTCTGTAAGCTTCTTCTGTTAAGTGGTAATATTCTAACAAAGTCTTTTTGAGAATTCTATAGTCTTTCATCTCAACTTCTGTTAAACCCTGGCATGCATCTAATCCCTTACCTCCTATCAATACCAATAACTGTGTTCCCCACTGTGACTCATGAACATTGGTAGTTCTTGCTATCGTTTCAAACCTCCTTATGTACGAGTCAAGGTTGTCCTTGTACTCATCAAATTTTGGAATCTTCCCTAAAATGTTACTTTCATAATTTCTAACCTCCTTAGTTACTTGCTTGCCCACATTATCTAATTTAGCCTGTTCCAATTTCGCTTCATAATCCAACCTTACTTTTTCAATCTCTATTCTAGCTTGCTCATTAGCTTCAACCCTAACTTTCTCTATATCTAATTCCTGTTTAGCTATTTCACATTTATAGGCCCTACTAGCTGTCTCCTCTACTAGTTTCATTTGCCTAGTTACCCAGTTCTCTAAATCTTCACCCTTATATTCCAGACTCTGTCCTAACTTATACATTTTCCTAATTTCTTCTGTGTCCATTCTAGATCCAACAAAAAGTATCCACCAATAGATCCAAATCAATCTAGATCTGAGCCCTAGATTCACCTGTTTAAGAAGTGACCAAATCACCTTCTTACTGCACAATATGACACAATATATGACCCTTCAATTTAGAATATTTAGATCTACCAGCCAGATCACCATTACATTCATTAACTGTGATTAACCACAGAATTGCGAACGTATACAATTATACAACTAATATATAAATAATATATATGGTAGCTGAAACAACAATGTGGTAAAACACCCCACAGATGTACTCTAAATAGTAATAAAATGGTGGCACTTATCTTAGAAAACGAATTCACACAGATCCAGGTCCCGACACACACAGATCCCCTTGCAGCAGCCTTGCTTGTACAACACGTCTTGAAACTTGAAACACAGATCCGTCAGATCCCCTTGACTTTGACTTGTCCAATACGTCCCGGCACACAACACAGGTCCCCTTGATAAGTTCAATAAGTCCAGGCACATAAGTTCTTCTCGTTGTCTTCCACAAATGAAGTAATTCACGTTGATACTTAATACAGTCAATGTTTATACACACATCACTTTAGTTTCTTCCTGCCGCCGCCATGTTTTAAACGGTTCACGGTCAAGGTTGCGCTGACACAGCTGACTGGAGGTCATCGGAGTATTCAGCTAACGGTGAACAATCAGAAATGTCCGTAGTTAAATTGTATTGTACCGATATGGTGTCTATATCGATAATTCTCTGGTTCCTATATATTTTCCCACCGGTTCTCACAACACGGGTAACTTCAGAATAGATTCTACTTTCCAGTCGGATTTCCAGACAAACAGATTCTTCATAGGACGGTCGTTGGCTATATATATCGTTGTTTGGTTAACTCCACCATGTTATAACTGCTGCGTTCTCTATGTGTACCACAGTTATGCAGTGCAGAGGGTTTACTTATTTGATCCAGCCAGCTACCATTTCACTCGTCTCCAATACCAGGGAGAGAGTATTACACACCAAATTACAAATTTAGACAACCTGTTACACAACTACCTGTGAATTTAGTCTACTTTCCCATACCTTTTATGAAAGTTCTTATCGCAAATGAGGACAGACTGACAATTAATTTTGTCTAATCTCCCATACCTTTCAATTTTTGCCTGTCATCACAGATCCCATTATAAATTAGGACAGACAGACAGAACAAAATTTTGTCTCATTCCCCATACCTTTCATGACAGATCCACCTAGCTTGTAGGTCTTATCCATCCCATCATGTATCCACAAATCCAGCTGCAGGTCATGGGCGCCGTTTGTGTCCCTGTGACCTGGTTTAAACGTAACGATCGGGGCACCAGACGTCCCTGGGCAGGTATCTGCAGCATACAGACACACCTGTCTGGCACTGTGTGCACCTGTAGACACACACATATGAGCACCGACATGGTACATCAACTTTCATTTAAGGCCCTTTACAATTATTCGGCTTTGACTACTTTAATGACTCTCAATTTTAAAATTGATTACATATTTAATTTTCAATTAATTTCTAGTGTTTTAAAATTGTATTAATACTCGCTAAAAGTGAAGATTTTTTTTAAAAGGTCTACAAAACAAAAATAAAAAGTAATTACATCTTTCAAAACTCAACGATTTTAAGACCCAACCACAAAGTATGCATAGACTTCAAAACAAATAGAAAACAAATGTTAAAACATGTACATACCCTGTAAAGTGTTGATCTTGACCAGCTTCCTCCTGCGGCCCTCCCCCACCAGATCGTACTTGACCACCACGAAGTCGCCATAGGAGACAAATTTCTCCAGGCCGTGAGGGTGGCTGATTATGAAGACCTTCTTGGTGAGACACTGCTTCACCTGTCTCGGCAAATCCCTGGCCAGCTCCAGCAAGTTTTGGCCGGCTTGGCTGATCTGTTTCACTAAACCGTGATCTGATGTCTTACACACAAGGATTGATTTGTTGTCCCCTATCACGTGACTGGGAACTATTGACACGCCTTTTGCTATTTTCACGTTTTTTCTGCCGGGGTCGTCAAAGAAAAACTCAACAACGGAATTTTTGGCTTGCTCGTCGGTGGAGACCACGTGACGACTTGTCACGATGTAGATCAGCTCCTTGTCTTTTTTTACAAGTGTTGACAAGTATTTCTTGACACTGTCAAGTTTATTCCGGTCTTTGTGTTGGTCGGGTTGATTGGAATTTTTCTGAAAATTATCCAAGGCAACCATGCCAGTGCCGACACAAATCGTGTCACTGTCATGATGACTGACGCTGTGACAGACGACCCTGACGGTCAGGACCCCCAGGAGATGAAGGAACCTGAGGACCTTATGGTGGCGAGCTTGTGCCGGCAGATGTTCCAGGGTCAGCTTGGTCAGGGGGAAGTGGGTGAAATGTCCGGGGTTTTTCTGGCACGAGGTGCTGGAGAGGGAGGCGGGGGTGGTGTGTGTGCGAGGGAGGGTCAGGTGCTCGGGTTCTGACCCCCAGCTTTCTGCTGATAGAGGGAGGTAAATATGTGTGATGTGCAACAGTGACGGGTTTAAAGGTTATGATGGTCGGATGTGATGAGAGTTGCAAAAGACATACCAGGAGAGGCGTCAGCAGCATCGCAGAAATAGCCTGGGTCTCTCGTTCCTGTGACAGATAGAGTTGTGTGTTAGTGAAATAGTTAGGCCGTGTTTATGAAGTTTTGTCATATATTCTTAAATATAAAATAACTATTTTGCCAAACCATTTTTAAAATGTTTGAAAACGTATGAAGTTATGCCTACCTGATTGTGGTTTTGTTTCTTGTGGAGTGTGAGTACATCTTGTCAGGCTCGTCTGCTGTATGTGAGTAGATCTTGTCAGGCTCGTCTGCTCCATGGTGCCCGGAGATGCATGAAACCCGTCCACAGCCAGATCTATTTGTATAGTGCTCATGTCGACAGGTTCACCATCGTTGCTGAAATCATCTGGTTCTATCAATCTCCTCTCACACGGGCTGTGGTTTTCCTCTGTGATTTCAGTTGTCAGCGTCATCTCCTCTCTACCCTCCACACGTGCTGCTGATTCATGTTGAGAGTGTAGTCCGTTGTCCTGTAACCTCCTGGTGCCGGTTAGGTTGAGGTGGTGTCCGGCCAGGTCTGGGGTGGGGGCAACAAAACTACAGCCAGTTGAATGATACTTGCTTGATCTCAGAACTGTTATATCCCCGTTGGAGTGAGACTCGGCTATGGGAGATGTTGTACCACAGCCAGCACACACAACGGTTCTGGTGTTGTGAGAGTAGAAGAACCCCGCCTCGACAAGCTTGCTGACGAACATCTCAGCCGGCATCTGGTGAGCGGCTTTAAACGAGGCTAGGCGCTCAAGGACAGAAGTTAACACAGCCATTCGAGACTTGGGGACGCTGTGGATAGGAATTCCATATAAAGTTTTCTCAAGATAAATTAGGAACTGTGTAATTGTAATTGTTACAGTCTGGAGACTAAAAATCAAAATAAACAATCGGTATTTATGTTTACCTAATTTTAAACGTATTTTAAAATTATTTAAGCTTATATTAAACTTATTTTAAGCATATATTAAACTTATTTTAACCTTACTTTAATCAAATTTCAAACGTATTTTTAAACTTATTTAAAAATTATTTTAAACTTATTTTTAAAATATTAAACTTATTGTAAACTTATTTTAAACTTATATTAATCTTATTGTAAACGTATTTTAAATTTATATTAAAATTATTTTAAACTTATTTTAAACGTATGTTTAACTTATTTTCTGATTTTTAACTTATTTTAAACTTATATTTAACTTATATTTAACTTATATTTAACTTATATTTAACTTATATTTAACTTATATTTAACTTATATTTAACTTATTTAAACTTATTTTTAGAGACGTATAAAGTTTACCTCGCTCTCTGAAGCCCTTTAATCTGCACTGTAACTTCTTTTAGCAACGTTGGCACTTATAGTCTCTTTTTATAGTTATGCAACACATTGCAATAATGGGGGTTACCCGGTTTTATTTTAAGTAGCTATAAATAGATTATGACTAAGCAATAGCAAGTTTTCTTCGACGGCAAAACGATTGTGTTAACGTTATACTTTACAGAATCGAAACGATTCTGATGTTATTCTTTAAAGAATTGCTACGGTTCTAACGTTATATTTTAAAGAATCGATACGGTTCTTTGAGTTTCTAAAAACATTATAATAATTGTTTAACAATAGTAAATAACTATGTATAAATGACAAAAGGTAAGTAGGCAGTTAGATCTGGGAATCTCATTTGTATACAAACGGAATGACGATGTATCGACGTACTGGTTTAAACTGGTTTAACCTGAAACTTTCCTGATATATATATATATATATATATATATATATATATATATATATATATATATATATATATATATATATATATATACATACATATATACACACACACAAATATATATAAATATGTATAAATATATATTTGTGTGTGTTTGTGTGTGTGTGTGTGTTGTGTGTGTGCCTGTGTGTGTTGTGTGTGTGTTGTGTGTGGTGTGTGTGTGTGTGGTGTGTGTGTGTGTGTGTGTGTGTGATTAGAAAGTATAACCAAATGTTATACTTTAAAGAAGTCTCACAGCCCTCAGAAAATCCCTACCCTTTAATTTATTACACAAAACTTCACTATTTCGTTTTCAAATTTTATTCATTATTTACATAAAATATATTATACAAAATGTCATTCTAATTTTAATAAACATAATTCTTTTTATCGTGAAAATTCGTCTTTCAAATCACACTAGTACTTGAGGCAACTAATTTAATAACATTATTATCGAATAATATAACAGTTAAACCTTAAAATATTCTTTTCTGTCATAGAAATAGATACAAGATGTGTTTGATATGAAGTGGCGAGATTTCTGTTTGAAGTCAGTTTGTTAGTTAGGGTCACACAATCTGGAAATAGTTTTTTTTATCCTATTACTAGAGGAGAATTTAGTTAGCAATTAAATTATAATTAAAAAGTTATTCTCTACAATCAGTCATGGTTTTATTTTCTGGAATCTTTCTGGGTTTACGTCACCCTGTGGAGAAAAATCAGAACATCTGTTTTTTAAACCTAAGTGCATACAAATTATAGGATTAATTTTCTGTAAACTTTAAAGGAAATGTTTGTGATTTGCATGCCCTCTAAGAATCAGGAAATTACCTCCCCTCTCCATCAATTATCCCTATCAGTCCCTCCTACCGCCCCGCGTCTATTACTGCCAGTACATTTGCTCATTTGCTTAACTTTATTACCAACTTATCACCCAGGCAATTTAGGTTAAAGATATGTTAGGGATATGGTTATGGCTAGATATAGTAAGGACTAGGAATATGGCTATGCATATGCTTAGAAATAGGAATAGGGATATAGGGAAGGAAGAGGAAGAGGGATAGTGATAGGCATGATATGTATTCTAAAATATAGGTTAAGTGGGTATTCATTTATATGTATGTATTTTTGTATTTTTATGTGTAGGTTTAGTACCCAGTTTTACAGTGTATACTTGTTCAAAGATTGTGTAAGGCATACTTTTCAGCAGTGTCTATCTAACAATATACAACGATACAAATGTTCTTAACTTAAGAAAAATAAACGGTAGCTGTTGCCAGTATCTTTACGTGACACGAAGGACACTGAATCAGTTGCTTTGAACATTCATGACAGGCCAGGAGTTCCCCACAGGGCAGGAATAATTCTCTGACCTGACCTGTGTTGCACACTTTACAAACCAATTGCTCTTTTAGTTTTCTATTCTCCTTCTGTAGAAGATTGATCTTCTCTGGTTTTCTGTTTTGTAGAATATGTTCTAAAAAACGTAATTTATATTTTTTTACAAACAAGTAATCAAATTAGCACTAACCTAAATGTATAATAAAATAAAGATTTAAAAAAACTGTATAGTTACAAGCTTTTAAATGTACTGAAATTTTTTAAAAATAAAACTAATTTGCTTTCTTTATTAAAAGATTCGGTCGTTCATGAGATCTCTTGCATATTTTAGCGACAAAAGAGCTTTTATGAAAGAAAGCAAATTAATTTATTTTTCGTTTTCAGAGCATTTAAAAGCCTGTCGGTATAATGTTTTTTACATTCATTTTCTACTTTTTGGTATGTCTAATTTATAAAGTTGACACGACTAAAAATATTTGCTCTAAAGCACCATCAGTACCTCACGATATCTAAAAGACCTATCTGCTCCTTGAAAAGTACCGTCCGTGACCGTATTTTAATGACGACAGCAAGTTTTAAATCATGTTACCTCCCCTTAGTTTCAAATCGTTTAAAAACTTTATTATCTGCCCCTAACAGCCTTCATTAGATCGATCGGCTCTACTTCTTCTGCGTTGTTAATTTTAGTATTGAAGGGGATCCCCTCCAACAAAATTAAATATACGTGTCAACTGGTTGTCCGCCATTGATTCCGATTTCCGCCTGCTATTCTTTTTGGATTTGCTTCCTTAGCTTTTGACCAACCAAGAACTAACTACAAGGCAGCAGCTGTTTACGATTGTAAGCATTTTCGAGAACGACAACTCACTAGACTGTTAGGGTAATCACGTCTAGCTAGTTAATATAAGTTATCTTTCCTTCTGTTATTCAATATAGTAATCTATCGAAGGATTTGATTTTGTTATCTCCCCTTAATTTTCAAACCGTTAGATTAATTTTTAATGATTAATTAAATATCTAATTGAATTTTAAAAAATAGATAGACTTGTATTGTCATCGAAGCGGAACTTATCTGGAAAGTTTGAACGATATCGTGGGTTAAAGTTGAGCTACAAGATTTGCCACAAACCCACAAACAAACCAACAAAATAAACAAACAAACAGACGTTACGAACTAAATAAAAGCTTGTAAAAAGTGGGGATCATTCGTTTGGGGTATTTTGAGGTATTATATTGAATTTAGTGTTTTTAACGGACCCATAATTTGAAAATTCATAAAAAATTAGTTTGTAGATCTGCACTTAAAATTTTTAGTATCCCAAAATATGGTACAAGATTATGTATTCATTGTTTAATGGTCTTATAATATAATATTTATTAATGGTGGAAATCCTACGAAGAGGTTATTTTTTAAAGTGGCCTCCGTTGACATAGTCATTATGATTTCCCCACCAATTTTTACTTTATCGTGTACGAAGAATAGAGGACGCATTGTAATCGTGCAAAAAAATCGAAATTGAGATTTTCACAAATCTCGACGTTTTAAACGTCCTTGAGCCGGAAAAATATCGTTTTGCAATTTTGTCCGTATGTCTGTGTGTGTTTATGTATGTATGTTTATATATATATATATATATATATATATATATATATATATATATATATATATATATATATATATATATATATATATATATATATATATATATATATATATATATATATATGTGTGTGTGTGTGTGTGTGTGTGTGTGTGTGTGTGTGTGTGTGTGTGTGTGTGTCTGCCAATTCGATAACTTGAGTTCCGTTATAGCTAGGTTGATGAAATTTCATATAAGTATTATATCAAATTAGTAGTTTTGTATCAACTTTTCAGCGAATTCCGATAACCGGAAGTGAAGCTTATTATTCTTTTAGTTTTTCAATGGCCTATAACTTGAGTACTGTTTCAGATAGATAAACGAAATTCTATTTTATTTTTTAAAGTTTAAATTATTAAAAAATCGTGTCTATATCCCGAGTTGCCATCCCACGTAGTATTATATAAGAATGTTCGAGAAAGTTTTGGGGAGATCACTCCCGGTTTGTTTTTAATGAAAATACAAATGCGGATGAATCTTTAAACAGCTTTAGAGAAAAACGGTTTCCTCTCTAGCATTAAAAATGTTTATATACCGGAGCCTACCCCCTTAAAGATCTTCAGCGTAAACATCAATTGGACATTTGTAATTAAATACTTTCATGGTTGCTTATTTGTATTATGTTAAAAGTATAGCTAATATTTCTAAATAGTAAATATCGAAAATGCATACAACTTTTTGTTCTAGATAAAATACAAATATACATATCTAAACATCCCACCTTTATGAGGTGTCGTTTCTTTCAGTCCATTGATCTCAAACGATCCATTATGTAAAGCATTAGCCACAGTTAGTTCCCTGTAACACTCTCTAGAGAAAGAAACGTGTGCAGGTATAGCGTACTCGGAGCGGCTGCCGATATGTTTATCAAGCTGACTGGTTGGGTCATCTTTCGACACCTTGTTGTATTTGACTCTCTATCGGCGACACACGACTGCCAGTGATTGAAGCAGTTGTTAGAGAACTGTTTTCATCTGACGCTATCTCGCCAACCCCTCCAGACACGCTACTCTCCAACCCAGCGCTGATAAAACTACAGCCATTAGCGTGAAACTCTGCCGTCCCAGGTTCCAGCATGCAGTTCTCATCTCGCACAAAGCTAAAAATAGAACTCTCCCGACCACACTCCACACACCTAACATACGGCGGCCTGTCCTCGTATGTAAACCCAGATTGGGCTAACCGGATGTACGAGATTGAGGCTAAACCTGGGGCTAAGAAAATTGATCGAAACGAGGCTAGACGTGGGACATACTCTTCAAAACTTGGTGCTACACGGCACACAGCAGGCGTAAAGTTGCTCGTCTTAGACTGACAAAACTGGAGTGGTGTGAGAAAATCCTTGCTTAGACCTTGCCTTATACAAAATGATGAAACGTTTATGAAGTTTAATTTTGCTATTCCGTAGGCAATCTTTGCCGACAAGACCAAAGCATCAAAGGTGTGAAGTTTACTAATACATATATGTGCTAACAAAATGGTATGTTGATCGTTGAGTATACTTGCTTCTGTCTTGAAGTTATTACTCCAAAAACGTGGCTCTGATATTTTAGAATAAATCAAATCTGTACACTTTGAAAAAATCCACTCTTTACAATTTTCAAAGACTACATCTGCCAATTTACACATTTTACAGAACCTGCAATCTCTGTACATCATGTGAGTTAAAAAACTAGCATCATTGAGCACAAATACAAGCAGCAGATGAAATAAAGGCACAGCTATCAGATGGGTCCTTTTGGAAAAGTTTTGGCTTAGACGATTATACATTGTAAACTTTGACCTATGATATCAAACTGTGCTGTCGTGTTTAATTCAGCTGAAAATAGACGTGGTGTACGTTTATAATTTAATCAATATATATAATCGTTATTCGAAATGACAGAATGTTTAAGGATATGACAGTTATATGGAAATACCGAGAACTGGTTTAAATATATAAATATCCTTACAGTCAGGTTTAAGTATAGATTTTGTTTTGCCAAAAGGTAACTATAAAGTATGACTGTTTAAAAAAAACTCGGTGTATTATTGAAGTAGGAAATGTTATTCCCCTAACCTTTTCAACTGACAATTTAAGTAGACATTGTGAAGGCGAAACCATTTTACTTCGGTAAAAACAATGGTATGAGTTGTTGTTTTTGTTTGTTTGTTGTTGTTTCGTTGTTTGTTTATGCAACAATATTTTTTATGTGTCTGAAACTAGATAAATTGTGTGATCAAATAAATATTATAGTAAAATACTTAGTAATTACT